CTGAAGGACCAGGGTTGTTGTTAGCCATTTGATGATCGGAGGTTGAACTGTGGGAAAAAATCTATTTGGGGAGCCTCTAAGATTCAAAAATAGGTTCAGGAACACACTGTCCATCCTTAGCCTGTCCTTGTGTGTGTTCCCGAGCCTATTTTACAAAAGCGAGGGTGGTTACATTTTGAGTATCTCTATTTTACCTGATGGCGTAAAGTGCCAGAGCCTGCTGCTTTTGTGCATGGAAACTGCAGAGCAAGTTGGCTGAGAAGTGTGATGCAGTAACATCATCTTTTGTAAAAGAGTGGTAACCTGCCTATGTTAGGAGGAGAAAAAGAGAACAAAAAGTAGCCTTGGGCAGAGTTGCATAGCAGGAGTCTTCACAAGCAACACGTTATGAAATAAATGCACAAAGGCCAAAAAAAAAAAGAAAAAAGAAAAAAAAAGCTCAGGATGGTTTTTCAGAACAAATATCTTTTTAAACTGGCAGTGGGTAAAGTCTGGGGTTGCCCTCCTCTTCCTCTCCTTTTAAGTGTGGGAGCGACAGGAGTGGCACTGAGGGGGCTTCTCAAAAATAGCTCTCTTTGCAACACCATTAATTATGCATGCCTCTACAGCTGCTGAAAGTAAGGGGCTGTTAAATAGATTTGCTATTTTGAGGTTCCTTTCTCTTTTATTTTTCACAAGAACTATGTCTTGCTGAGAAGCTCAAAATCACTGGGGTTTTATCCAACGGACAACCTACTGCCAGAGGAGACAGGAGGGAGTGATCTCACTCACTTCCCCTTCTCACTGCAGCTCTTCATTCCATGGGGCTTCTTTTTAGAGTTCCCCAACCCCTATGAGAGTTTTAGTTGGGGTAGGGGTTAGGGGTTATCACAGGAGGCTGCTAGGGGAAGAGGAAAATGAAAAAAAGATCAATTCCCGCAAGTGGAACATCAGTAAGGTACAGCACACAGATATTAACTGTCTCCATTGCAACTCTTTGCTGTGTATATTTCATAAAACTACACATTCCAAAGTTGTTTCTATATAATGGGGATATGGAATTCTGATACTAGGATGACGGCAAAATTATTTTCTGCCTTGTCCTGAGATGTCCATCATTATGATGGGCAGGTGTTTATGTTTATATTGCAGGGACCATCTGGTAGTCTATTATTCTGAAATTTGAGTTGGCCCCTATTTATGTGGGCGTTGTTTCTTGATCATGTTTGAATGTGGTGGTATTATCATTCCTTCCAATAAGTGTTATGGTCCCGTGCATGTAATTAAGGTGGTGACATGGGGCAGCCCTGAGGGAGGGGAAGGTAGGCAAAAAATATTAGTTTGTGATTTAAAAGAAAAGAAAGAACCCGCATCCTCCCATTCACCAAGCCCTGAGCAGATTAATTGTTGTTCAGGATGAATGGAATGTTGAGGGAATGTTGATATGGAACTTATGAAAATGTTGAAGCTGTGGAAAAAACAGAAAGGGGGTTTTTTTGGGGGGGGGGGTTGATAGAAATGCAGTAAAGAAGGCTTTTTGTTATCCAGCACTTGGATTATCCAGACTGCTCAGTTAATGGACATTGCCCAGAGGTCCTCCCACTCAGTCCCCATAGCCCTGCACGGCCTACCTGTGCCCCACTCCCACTTCTCCAGCTGCCCAGTTTGGTGCTGTGCTGGGCTTTTGACAGCTGGTGCTGGCAGGTGACCTCATCCTTGGGTACCTCTTTCACTTCCAGTTTACCTTTATCTTTCAGGAACCAGTCCTTCCAGAGCGCTTCTGACCAGCTTGCCAGCTGATCTACCTGCTGCATAGGTCAGCCCTGTGGATTAAGGGGGCAAGGGAAGTGTCTGGTCAGGAACGGAAGCTGTTGCCGTGGCATTGTCATTAGGTTAGGGTTTGCAAAGGGGGAAGGGCAGAGCAATAAGCTTGAGTATCCAGTGCATTTGATTAACTGGCAAGCCCCATTCCCCATGAGTCCTGGATAACAAAGCTTTTATTGTGTATGCAATAATTACTTTTCTATCAAACCTGAACCCCTTTTGCAGCGTCAGCAACATGAAATGCATCGTTTATAACTCAGCATATAGGATTGTATTAATTCTCATATTTATGGAAAATAAAATTATAAATGCCTTCATTTTCTACAAGTGCCACTCACCTGACATATCTGGGGAGAATAGCAATTGCTCCCAAATAAGCGGACAGGTAATAGCACACCTTTTGCCATCATGTTGTTTCCCATATCCAAAGAATGTGAGGTATGACTAGAATGTTTGAGCCAGCGTGTTCAAGAAATGTTGTGCCACAGAGCTTTTTCACTGTATTAGTAGAAATATTCTGGCTGTCTTTCTTGAGCCTATAAATCTGGGACAAAAAGCTGGTACAGCTCAGTCATGCTCAGGGAAAACTACTGAATGGTTGCTAGCCAAACTTGTAAAGCCATCTGTGTATGGGACCCTGAAGAACAGTAATGTGACAAAAGCACTTCACATGTAACACACTGAGCTTTGACTCATGAAAGCTTATACCCTGGATGATTCTGTTGGTCTCTACTGGACTGGGATTTTGTTGTATGACAGAAAAGTATTATTGTGATGCAACCAAAATTGTGCATGTGTGTTGAGGAGTATAGGGAGGGGGAAGTTGCATGTTTGGATGCCAGGAATTTGTTCACCTAATGGTGTTCTCTTAATGGCATAACAGTCAATGGAAGGCTCCTTGCGCCAGCGGAAAGCATCACCAGTAGCAAGACAGATCTGCTACTTAAGGTCCCAGTAATCATGGTGTAGTGGTTAAAAACGACGGACTCTAATCTGGAGAATCGGGTTTCATTCCCCACTTCTCCACATGAAGGCTGCTGGGTGACTTTGGGCCAGTCACAGTGCTCTCAGAACTCTCTCAACACCACCTGCCTTGCAAGGTGTCTGTTGTGGGGAGAGGAAGGGGAGGTGATGTAATCTGCTTTGAGACTCCTTAAGGTAGAGAACAGCGGGATATTAAGGCCTTCTCCTGATGGTGATTGATCTGAACTCTCTGTTTGTCCTTTTTGCTTGTTTTGATATAGTTTTTCGGTGCTGTGGCACTTTCTTCCCCAGTTGTGCAGTTCTGTTTCCTTCATGTCCCAGTGTATATAGCAGAGGTCCATCAGTGGCTATTAGCCACAAGATATAGATAGGAACTCTCAATCTGGGGCAAGTGATGCTCTATATTCTTGGTGCTTGGGGTGGGGGCAACAGTGGGAGGGCTTCTAGTGTCCTGGCCCCACTGCTGGACCTCCTGATGGCACCTGGTATTTTTGGCCACTGTGGGACAGAGTGTTGGACTAGATGGGCCATTGGCCTGATCCAACACTGGCTTCTCTTAAGATCTTATGTTCTTATATGGGGGAGAGAAACATGGATGACCCTCTGAGCTCCTTGAAGGAAGGATAGGATTAAAAATGTTTCTACTTATTACAGTTCCTAATTTCAGCTCTTTCTGACATGGAATAGATGTTAAAACTGGATGGCTGTGCCTTATGTTTGTTCAGCTTTGGGTACTAAGTTTTGGTGATCAGTAATGACAGCTTGTTTGCAAAGAAGAGACGCTTGATGTACTAAAAAGATGATGCTAATTTACCTTCATTCTCTTATTGAATAGCTCATTATATAATGTTCTGGCTACCACCTGCTGTAGTGTTTATCCACTTTGAGAGGGAATAACTGCTTTTCTCTCTGTGTGTGTTTTAATGTGTATCTATTTGTTTACCTGCCTAGACCTATATTGGTTCTGACATGACGTATGATGATGCTACAATCTCTTCAGCTCCCCCTCCATACACAGCTTATGCCACACCATCACCTGAGGTAGGTAAAATGGAAGACAGAACAAATTTTACACCTGTGGTTCTTGACAGTTCATAATATTACCTCTATGTAAAGTTTGTCGGCAGCTTCATTTGTTGTGAACAGGTAACTGGCATGTTCAGGGAGCACCAGTTTGTTTTAAGTGTTCGTGTATGCATCTTGCCCATAGTTCTTAGCTGTAATAAAGGGGTTAACTTGTATCATTCAGCGTGTATCACAGCCCTGTACATTGCCAAGGTGTGCTTTTAAACTAGGTTTGCAGTTTAAGAGCATGAATTTCAGCACCCTGTAGAAGAAAAAAAATCCTAAAGTACATTTGGTCACATGTACACGCTTTGTCATTTCATCAGGTTTACAGCTATCCCCAATACAGTGGTGCATATCCACCTCCAGGGACTCAAGTCATCTTTACTTCCAATGGACAGACATATGCTGTCCCTTACCAAGGTAACTTGTGGTATTTATTCTTTCTGACATAATTTGTGTATTTAAAACGCCATATTTTAAAAGAGGCTTTTTCTTTTTTTACTTCAGTGATCAGTGCAGGGGGGAAAGTATCACACCAGCTATCATGGTTGTCATACACATGGCACTTTGTAAATCCCTGACCTCAACTTAAAACCCCGTAATATTAGTTTAGCTATGGTGGTGTAGTGGTTAGTGTCAGAGCAGGACTAACAAATCCTCACTTTGCCCTGAAGCTCACGGGATGACTGTGATGGGCCAGTCTCACTTTCTCAGCCCCATGTGCCTCACAGAATTTTTGTGAGGGTAAAATGGAGGAGGGGAGAACCATGCTGCGCTTGAGGGGAGAAGGAAGGGTAGGGATACAGGATAGTTCGTCGGAAGAAATATATAAAGGTTAAAAAAAATTAGGACAGTTCTATGTTGCCTGCTCCAGAGTGAGCTCATCAAGCAGCCTGGTGATCCTAGCACCTGACAGAACCACCAGTGTGGTCTACAGAGAGGTCCTTCAGTAGAGAGAGAAAAAATGTACGTATGTCTCACTTCATTTTTTACACTACAATCTTCTCCACTAGAATTCCTACAACAAATGCCACATTTCAAACTTCACATCATTGGTATTTTAACTGGATTTACGGAACTTAAATACCGTAGCGAAGCATGGGTATCAGGCTAGTCTAATATGGGCAAGCATTGGCCAATACGTATTCTGAATCAGAGAATGATGAGTTGCATCCTCACTGCTATTTAGAAGGGATCAGAAGGCCTCTGATCCAAGCTCTCTAAACCAGGCACAGTTAACTTCCAGGGTTGTGTGTACTCTAGGTTCCATCGCAGCCCAGAAATGCCAGATGACAGCCGCTTTCCACCTGCAGTTTTAACGGTCTAAAGCTCTTGGGTTTTCATCCACCCCCTCTTTTTCTCCCCTTCCCTTTACAATGTTGTAATCTAAGCTTGGAGCAAAATATACCTTGTTACATTACCTTGTTATGCTGGTTGCATTTTAAGTATTTCTTAGTTAACAGGATCCAATAACATGTTCAAAGTAGTCACAAAGACTATGGATTTAGAACCACTCTACACCTTTCTATGACTACTTATGTAGCTCTGAAGGAAAATATAAATATTCAGTACATGAAAAGAGTACTGTTAGGATGTTTCTTGCCTGTGGTCTGTGCATTATAATGCATAAGTTAGAGCAAAAATACTCAGGATTTTAAATACCAGTAGCTTGGATTAGCTGAGAAACAATCTATTTGAAGCTACTTATTGTAGTTAAAACCTTCTCAGAGTGTTCTTGGTCCAAAGTACTCCCCTGACCATTGTAGGTTGTAGGATATTTGCTGCTGGCTGAACAGTAGATCCAGCTACCTCAGAACCTTTTCCTGGGAGTTTTCTGTCCGACCTGCGCAGTGGTTCTCCTCTTCCTCTCCCCATTTGCTATTTGGTATAAGCAAGAGAACTGGGTTACTCACCTTCTTCAAACTTCTTCAGATGTGTAGTCTTTGGTATGAATCACAAGATACTTCTTTTCCTTTTTAAATTGAAGTCCTCTGTGTGTGTGTGTGTGTGTGTGTGTGTGTGTGTGTCTTTAGCTTCTGCTTTTAACAAGTCTTTACATTCTTTGTGTAAGAGAGAGTAGAAAGGAACAGAGCTTTTATTTTTCCTGCCAAAGATTGATAAAAGTCATTTATAACCCTGACTGTCTTCTTTTCAGGTCCTTATCGCCAGCCTCCTACAAACCATGTCATCGTTCGAGAACGGTACCGAGATAGTGATGGAGACCTTGCCCTGGGCATGCTTGCTGGAGCAGCAACGGGAATGGCCTTGGGCTCATTGTTCTGGGTATTCTAGGTTTCCTCTGGAGCCATAAAGTGAGGAAGATCCAAAACCTTTTATTTATTCTGTGTGCAATAATTATATATATTTTCAAAGTACTCCTGTTTAATCTACAGAATTTTAATAAGTTCTAGTAATACTTTTGCTAGTGACTCACTGGAACTGTAGTTAACAAAGTCCTAACTGCCCCAAAGTCATATTTTAGTTGAAATGCTGTTCGTGCAACAGCTCATGGTCAGATGAGTTTGTGATTCTATACGTTGATTAATAAATAGTGGTAATATCAACGAAGGATTACTAATGAAGGATAAATGGCAACACTCGACTGATTTTTTTAGTGCAGAATTAACCACCTTGTTAAGATCATGTTGGCTGCAGGCTTGGAATACTAACTGCAAAATAGGGCAGAATGATAACAGGAAGGTGTGCTGCACTTTGGACTCCAGGTTATTTGAATCAGATACAGTTTTACCGTTTCTTGAGTAGAGATGGTGATTCAGTAGACACTCCATGGGATTTGTTTGATCTTTTTAAAAGCTCATACATTTCTGTAGCTGGTTGGGTTGGCAAAAATTGCATACTCCACAGCATATATTGCTTTACTGTGCAAACTCTCCCCACAGGCTAAACAATAAAGTTTGCTTCTTACTGCTTCTGCAAAAATAATAGCAGCCTTGCTTGGAAAAGGAAGGAAGATTTGTTACAATGTAAATAATTTGTTTACTAGAAATTGAAGCTCAGTTTAGTTATTTGTGTATCGATGTCTGAGCCCCATATCAGGTGGGATTCTTCTGACTGTGGGCTTATTTGCTAGGATAGTAGCATCTACTACTGGCTTGTTTCTTTCTTGATGTGAAAGTCCTTCCCAGTCTTAAATAAGTACATAATGGAAGCTCTTTCATCATACTGGGCTTCAAAGTGTCCAAAGCATTTTTTAAACACTGGTAGTAGGTGTTTTGGAGACCTTTACTTGTAGAGTGGGAGTTTACACAAAGTGACTCCCCACATCTCATCTGCAGTTGCAAAACAAGACCATTTTTTGTTTTTCTGGTGCAGCGCAACAAGATCTGTTCTTGGTCATTAAGATGCTGTACTGGTAATGTCTGTTCTTGCATACTCTATTTGAGGTTCTTCACTTTCTGCTTTTGACACATACAATTCCATAACAGTGTGCAGCAAGCTTTCATTAGAACATGATTAGCTTCAGTGGAGTAGGGTGCCAAAGCTTTATTCTTAGGATATTTTTATTTTTATACATTCAATTATTTGTATATCCTGTTAAAACCCAAGATGTAGATAAGAGTCTTCAAAATACCTGTGTTGTGTCTTAGGCAAACATTTACAGCAGCAAGTGAGGAGGTTTTTGGTATTGCCACTTGTCAAAATAGTTAAGATTAACGCAGTTTTGTTCCCAGTGAATTAGGGATAACATCATTACAGGTCTTGGCAGAAGTAATGGAAGCCCTCCCTTGAATGAAGCATGCACTGCTGTTTTGCCTTGGAAGCTGTAGACAGTGAGGAGGAACCATAGTCATATTCAGCTCCTGTTGAATTTGAACATCTGTTGAGATGTTTGTTCTTACAAATGTATTGTTCAGCAGTCTAGAACAAATGCACAGTACTATGAACTGAAGAAAACTTGAAGATCTTAAGTTCTTCATAAGTGTGGGGCTCTGAAACATTTGAGTCACTGAAACTACCAGTGCAATCCTAAGCAGAGTTATACCCTTCGAAACTGAGTAGTACAATTCTGTTTAGGATTGCACTGTGTCCCTGTGATAGAGGCAGGCTTAGCTTCTGCTCTTTGTCAAGAGTACTTTTTTAAAAGAGCCCCTTATCTTCTCTGCTACTCTGTATGCTTGTCTAGAAATACCTAAAATTCCTACTTTCTATGTATTTATATTTGATCATGAAAAAATAAACATAGCATTGGAACTGCTGGTAAGCTTGAAAATTTATTACATGCCTCTCATTAAAAGTTGACAGGAGACTTTTAGGCTGATTGTGTCTGATTTTATTTGCAGGCAGGGAACAAAGAAATACCTCTTTTTGGTCATTATGTAATCATTGTGGAGTTCTAATACTTGAGTTTTTTGTACAGATGTGTTTTTGTAGATTGCTGTTATGATTATGGAAGCCACCTTGAGCACAGGAAAGCAGGGTGAATTTTTTTCAGTAAATATAAATAAAGCTCCCAATTCTAGGAGGGCATGTGGGTGACTTTATTTGAAAAACATTTTGCAAATAAGCCACAGAGGGCTACTGATGGTTCCATGATGGTGTATAAGCCTTTTAACAACCCAATATGCAACATGGCACGTTTTCAAATGGTCTTTAGGCTGATTAAGTTTGCCCTGAGTATTCCGCCACGTGTGCTCTATCCATCATCCCAACTGTTCCATATCTAGCAGTTCTCCCTCTGAAAGGCAGGTGGTTGGTTTTATTCAGTTCAGGGCATTTGGGAGCCATCACCAACCATCTGGGTCAGTTCCTGTTCCAGGAATCAATGACTGTATGACAGGAAAGCTTGCCATGTCAGCTGGGAATATACTGAAGCCAATCTGAAATTCCATTGGATCCAACAATTTTCAGGGCAGACCAATTTAAAAACAGTTTGCTATCCTTGTGGAGACTACTGATTACTGTGATTCCAATCCTTACCAGCTAATTAAAAAGAAGAAGAAGAAGAAGATGAGATTGGATTTATACCCCGCCCTTCACTACCCAAAGGTGTCTCAGAGCGGCTTACAAACTCCTTTCCCTTCCCCTCCCCACAACACTCCCTGTGAGGTAGGTGGGGCTGAGAGAGCTCTTGACAGAAACTGCTGTTTTTCAAGAACAGCTCTTATCAGAACTATGGCTGGCCAAGGTCATCCAGCCAGGTGCAAGTGGAGGGGTGGGAAATAAAACCTGGTTCTCCCAGATTAGAGTCCAGGCATTTAACCACTACACCAAAATAAGAATCAATGGTCTTAAAAGTCTAGTTAAAGGTTTCATGTATCCACAGTACCCTGTTTCTTCCCTGTGTATCATGTGTATCCACAGATCATCCTCTTCTCATTCAGTACATGTGACTGTCTGAATGTGTTAGCCAGAAATGTACATGTGATGGCCTTACAGTTGTTGTAGCAGCAATGGTGCTCTAAGCCACACAGTGCAAGGGGACCTGGATGGTGAAATCCCCTAGAACTCCCCCACCAGGACTATTAAATCAAGCTTTGTATTAACTCTGTATTGTCAATATATCCTTACAAGATCCAAGTGGAATGGAAATTAAAATTTGGAATAATGTTCTTTTGCTGCATAAATTGTCATAATTGACTGCTATGTTGGTAGAAATTTTAAAAATGGTATATTTTCTGGGTTATTTTCTGTGCAGAAAGATTCCATGAAGAGAGAGGCCACAGGAGCCTGCTTGGGGAGGACGGGATACAAATCTCAAAATAAAATACAATAAATAAATTATGGGGGGAAAGAAGGAGGAATGAGGGCGGTATGAAGCGAACTCACCATTAAATCAACAAAAAAATGTGAGAGCATGAAAATGTTGGCATTTCCTAAATAATTTTTAAAAAGAACATTTTGGAAATATATTTGCAATGCAGTTGGCTAAAAGACACATTTAAAAGGACCTGGAGAATAGTATTAGATAATTTCATTAAATTCCGTTGTACTGAAATACCATGTTTAGAACAAGATGGGTGGCCATGTTATCCTGTCCATAGCAGAAAAGAGCAAGAGTTCAGTAGCACCTTAAAGACTAACATGTTTAGAAGTAACTAATGATAGAGAATTGTACTGAGAATTGCTCACACAGAGCCGGTGTGATGTGGGGGTTAAAATGTTTGATTTGGATCTGGGAGATGTGGGTTTGAATCCCTGCTCTGCCATGGCAGCTTACTAGGAGACCTTGGGCCAGTCACGTATACTTAGCCTAACCTCCCTCCTGGGCTTGGTGCGAGATAAAATGAAGGAGAGGAGAACAATATAAGCCACTTTGGGTCCCCACAGATGAGCAAGGTGCGTTATAAATAAAATAAATACATGGCTGGTGCTTTCAAACTGATACGTGCAGATTGAAAACAGGGTACTGCCTCTCGGAGCTGAAAGCTGGGCTACATTTTGGGAGGGGAGGACTGCTAATCTGCTATCCATATGATGTGGTTGGAGAGGCAGGAGAAAAGAAACTGGCTTCAGGGTTCCCACTTCCCCATACAGATGATCACTATCAAAACTGGCAACGTTAAACAGTTGAATGGACAGACATGGGCATGTGGGTATGGTGCGATGGAACATGCATATGGTCGGGGGGCCAACATCTTTTGACTACCCCAGGCCTCAGGGACGTCAAATTCACCGAGACTAGGGCCAGGGCCTTTTTGGTGGCGGCTCCTACCTGGTGGAATGAGCTCCCGGAGGAGATCCGGGCCCTGCGGGATCTTGCGCAGTTCCGCAGGGCCTGCAAGACGGAGCTCTTTTGCCAGGCTTTCGAGTAGGAGCCGCCGCCGCTACTGTTCCATCAATGCACCGTCACCGAAAATTGGCAGAGATACCATCAGGGTGCAAGCGGGCCCTGGGAAGAAGACTGGCTATCTGCTGCTTTGGAACTTACGTCGTTGGTCTGGATCCACCCTACCGGAACCCATCTTGGAACTGGGAACATCAGAGCACCAGCACTTTGTTGTACTATTGTTATTTTTTATCTTGTTTTAATTGTTTTAATTATGGCTTTTGCCCCAATTGTTAGCTGCCCTGAGCCTTAGGGGAGGGCGGGATATAAATTGAATTATAAATAAATAAAATACTTTAGACTGTGGAATTAAATGGAGCGACAAGACGCGGGGAGCTGTTAAATGATGAGGTAATCTCAAGACAGGAAGAAAAGAAAATAATAATCTTTGTCAACAGTTCTAGTTCAGATACTTTGTCGCGTGTGTTGTGTAGCATTGCAATTACAGTTTAGGAGTTACTGCTTTTGGATTCTTTGGTGAGCAACTAACAGCCCCATTATAAGCAGAGTGGCACTCCTAAGCCCCCACTAACTTCAATAGACTTGGACTGGAGTAACTTTGCTTTAAAAAGCAACCTTAACCAGGTATATCCAAAATGTCTTTAGGATTGCACTGTGAGTGGGACTGCTTCCAGTCTGATCCTCAGAACATTTTCCTGGGAGTAAGCCCAACTTGGATTGATCTGAGTAGGATTTTAAATGGACCTGCTTAGGGTGGTACTGTAAGGGTCACTTCAAATACTTGTATGTGGCAAGAATGGGAAGAGATGAGAAAAGAAAAGAAAGGGGAAAGGGGAAGCTTGAGTATTGTAATACAGCATACAGTTATAGCGCTTCATTTGTATTAAATATTTAGACGAAACAATATGGCAATATTGGGTATAATGAATAGGGATGGGTACAAGCCCCCCCCTAAAAGCCCCAAAAGAGCCCCACCTGAGCTGGTCTGGCAAATTTGGTTCCCCCTTTTCGCCGGCTGCAGTGAGCCGTGGCTGGGAGAAAAGGGTTGGGGACTGTCCTGGAAGGGACTTCCCTTCCACCTTACTCCTGGCCATGGCTCACCCGGGCCAGGAGAAAGGGGGGGAATGCCTATTGGTTTCACTCCCCCCCCCTTGAAGGAGGGAGTGAAACCAAATGGTATAATGGCTCACAGAGACATTTAAACCTAACAGCTGAGCAGGCCCGCCAGTTAGCTGTTAGGTTTAAATGGCTGCCAGAAAGCCATTTAAACCTAACAGCTGACCAGTAGACTCAGCAGGGCTCAGCTGTCAAGTTTAAATGGCTAGCCCCGAACAACTGAACTGAACTGGCTACAAGTCTGGTAAATGTTAAGGGAAGATGCCTTCCCCACATATCGGTTTGCAAATTCCGGATTGCATCTGTGCTTTGCAGTTACCACCACCTAATCCAAGGCTGTAACACATCCTGTATTCCATGTTAAGGTTTTACGAATGTCTCATCAAACTAGGGGCTTTATCAGGCTGAAAGTGCATTCCCCCTCCCCCAGCTTTTGATTTCTGTGTGGAGCATTCAGTCTGATGGCCTTGGGAATTCAAAACATGTCTCCATATTTTGCAATATTTTAGTTGGTCCTAATAAAATGTTTGACGGCTGCTGTTTTAGGAATTTTTCTGTGGATCAACACAGCTAGCTCTGCTCCATGCTAGAACTGAGCCACCAGATGGCAGGCAAAATCAAGCAATGCCTGCAGCACAACATCCGTTTCAGTAGGATTTAATCTGCAGCAGTTTCCCTGCATTTTACTGATGGAACACAAACAATGAGGAAAGCCTTTGCCCCGCAAATAAAACACAAGCACAAAATAAGCATACAAATTCTGTGGTTTAAAAGATTTTATTTATGTCAGTTTAACACAATTTAGTATCGGGTAATGACTGCATTGGGGGGAAATGATACTATTTTGAAATGATCATGCAAACAACAAGCAGCAAGAAATTGGGAAAGGAAGGGAAAGTTATAAGGATGGAACTTGAGATCTGGACGTACAAGTCTGGTGTTATAAATCTCTGTGTTAGGAAATCAGTGGGGAACATGTTAACCTTACAGGATATATAGTGGCTGATTAAAAGAAATTCATAAGTAGGATCTAATAGGAAAGTGCTGGATTAGAATTCATTTAAAACCTGAAAACAATTTACTTCCCCACTCTGGAATTAACAGGGACCTTGATTCTTAGCTCATTATAGGTGGTAACATCTCATATATCCCATCCCTTACAGTTGCCAATTTGTTCCATTATCTCATTTGATGAACTGATTATTCTTTTGACTGGATCTTGTTCTACACCAAACTTGCTTTGCAATCTCCCCCCTCCCTGCTCTGTGCTGCTGGGTATTTAACCAAGCCTAATGGGTGTACACTAATGTGCGTCTGAAGATATAATCTCTGACTCAGGAAACCTGGTGCTGAAATAATTTCTAATTGCCTTTAAGTTGCTGTTGGCCTCCTCCATAACTGAGATGCAAATGGCTGCAGAGACAGGAGTGAGCAGCCTATTGGCTCAAGGCCCATTATGAATCTGTTGTTTTAGTGATCTCAGACCATTACGGAAAATTTAAAAGTACTTCCAAATAATTAGAATTTAGCAAAATATGCAGTTAGATTCAATGGTTCATGTTCTCTGTGCACAAGGCATCTCTGCCAGTGGGATGGAGCTTTCCTGCCTCCTTTCTGTGGTTCTAATAAGAGCTGAGAGCCAGTGTGTTGTAAGGGTTAGTGTGTTGACTGAGCAGGCCAGGGTTCAAATCCACAGCTGCCCATGAAACTTCTTGGGTGACCTTGGAGCAGTCAGTCTCTCCCTGCCTCAGTCTAAGCGACCTCACCGGCTTCTTGTAAAGGTACAGCGATGGGGATTATGTATGCCACCCAGACTATCTTGGAGGAATGGTGGGATTAAAATAAAATTGTATACTGTCTTTCTGCCAAGGCACTGAGGGCAGTTGACAATTTTGAAAACTAGATATAAAAGACACAGTGCAGAAAGATTCTAAGACCCATGAGACAAAAGGGGCAGGGAGGGAAGAAAAACATAACCAATTTCAAAATACCAACTTGAATCTGCATAATAGAATCCCTATTTTCTATCAATCCAAGGGTTGAACTGGGGCCAGTTAATGCAGGTCAGCAACATCTAACAAATGGTTGTTAAGATAAAAGGAGATCTTGGAGGAGGATAGG